TTCTTATACAAAAAGAAAATACCAATGGCTTCAGCTGGAAAAGCTGGAACGATGCACTAATTCAGCTAGACAATGATGGTTTGACTCTGCCAACAAACCATCCAGATTATTGCCAATTTAGCTAAAAGACATTCATCAAATATACTGATAAAACAGCAACGTCTGAATCTGAAACTGCAAAACAATTTCTACATTCATCACAACATCCAGGTGTCACTGAGACAGAGCAAAAATTTGCAAATACATCCATGCCAAAGGGAACTGAAGAGAATTTGCAACTCCTTAAGGCACCCGTATAAGAAGAGGAAGCAAAAGATAACAACACCAACCTGAAAAACAATATGGAAGGATTTATGGTTCGTTTTTTAACACTCTACTCTGCAATAATGACAGCACAATACACCGCAATGATAAACCATTCCCTGCAACTGAAAGGCCTTCTGGATACATAATTAGAGGCACATGTATCGGTAATTCTAAGCCCAAATAACAACCTACATATTGATGCACCTGCGTGGAGGAGGAGAAAACTCAGACACGATGCAGAGTTCCCAGGAAATAGACCAGAGGCAATTGTACTATTGTATTTTAATATTCTGTTGGAAGCCGCCCAGAGTGGCTGGGGAAACCCAGCCAGATGGGCGGGGTATAAATAATAAATTATTATTATTATTATTATTATTATTATTATTATTATTATTATTATTATTACTACTACTACTATTACTACTTTACTGCTACTGAAGGCAAATGAGCATCATGGTCACAAATCCAATATATTCAGGATTGGCACAGTCCATAAAAAAATCCAGTTGCAGTACTTACAATAAAACTTACAATGATTTATAATAAGACTAAACCTGAACAATATAGCACACCAGAACAGCGAGACAGAAAGAGAAAGCAAGTGAAGCCCAGGCTCCTTCTGGACTATCATCGTCAGCATGATGGTTTAAACAGAAATGGCTTAAACCAGCTGTACTCAGCTTCCCAGAAGACATAACCCAAACAAGAACCTTCTGCTTGTTTCTCCCACGTGGAAAGAAAACTTTCCAGAACCAAGAAGAATAGGAAAGAACGCTATACATCAGATCAATACTTTCTGTACTAAGAAATGCAAACTGACACTCCCCCCCCCCCCATTTATTAGGAGCAGGAAGTATCAATATGTAAAAAACCTGTAAAAAAATTGCATGTACACCTTCCTTCTACAAGAATAAATCCTAACCTTTTCTTGCTAGACCTGCAATTCACCAGCAGAAAAAACTCTGTCTTTACCAGATGCTTCTGTCACTAGCAGAAAACATCCTGACTCCTAGGAAAAATACAACTTCAAGCTTCTTAAATTAACTGTAGCCCCTCACATTATAAAACAAAACACTACCTATGAAACCTGACACAGTGAAGGAAAAATACAACTAACATAAGAACTATCTTATGAACCTTACCTTACCTTATTATATCTCTAATAGTATATAGACTCTACTGAAATATGTAAACCAAGACTTGAAAACTTCACATATGTATGGGAAGAGGTGTGGATGTTCTACGTGCCACACATCACCCTCAGCCAATCAGCACACCTCAATATGTCGCCCCTTCCTCATTCCCGCCTCCTCTCCAAACTCGTACCTTGACTTACATCTCACGCATGCCAATGGCTCTAGCTGGAAAAATACAGCAATATACTAATAAAACAGCAACGTCTGAATCTGAAACTGCAAGACAATTTCAACATCCAGGTGTCACTGAGACAGAGCAAAAATTTGCAAATACATCCATGCCAAAGGGAACTGAAGTGAATTTGCAACTCCTTAAGGCACCCGTATAAGAAGAGGAAGATACGAAGAGGAAGCAAGATACTATCACCAACCTGAAAAACAATATGGATGGATTTATGGTTCTTTTTTTATACTCTACTCTGCAACAATGACAGCACAATACACTGCAAATGATAAACCATTCACTGCAACTGAAACGCCTTCTGGATACATAATTAGGGTCAAGCGTATCAGTAATTCTAGGCCCAAATAACAACCCACATATAACACAATCTTACTGATGAATTGCATAACTAAATCAAGATGCAAACAGGATGCTAGAAGTTAAAACAATTCCAAGATGCTTACTTTAAGACTAAACAGGTTTTTCTAAAAATAATATTAATAATCCAGCTTGACATCTGAAAAGTACATAATGTTCTAACCTGGGTCAACAGTGTGATGCAGCAGCAAAACGAACTAATGATATTCTGGGCTGCATCAACAGATGAAGAGAAGTAATTGTGCTGCTCTACTCTGCTTTGGTCAGACCACCTGGAGTCCAGTGTCAAGTTCTGGACACTTGGGTATGGAGAAGAGGAGACTGAGAGGAGATATGACTCCATCTTCAAATATCTCAAGGGCTGTCACATGGAGAATGGAGCAAGCTTGTTTTCTCCTGCTCCAGAGCGTAGTGTTGCAAAAATCAATGTTGGGGCTGAAAGAAAACTCATGCAGCAAATGAGGAAAACAAAGGGTTTTATTTTGCAAGCCAGCCAAACAGGCACAGAGGAATATACATAATTGTTATCTCTTAAGGCACCACATTGGGGAACGAGAGTGGCGATGTGGTCTACACCACCGAGCCTAGGGCTTGCTGATAGGAAGGTTGGTGGTTCGAAGCTCCCGTTGCTTGGTCCCAACTCCTGCCCACCTAGCAGTTCGGAAGCAGGTCAGTGCAAGTAGATAAATAGGTACCGCTCTGATGGGAAGGTAAATGGCGTTTCTGTGCACTGCTCTGGTTTGCCAGAAGCAGCTTAGTCATGCTGTCCACATGACCCAGAAGCTGTCTAATGCCAGCTCCCTCGGCCTATAGAGCGATATGAACGCCACAACCCCAGAGTCATCTGCAACTGGACCTAATGGTCAGGGGTCCCTTTACCCTTAAAGCACTACATATTCATAGACTGACCCAATCCCAAGTTACAGAGCGCTACTATTAGAAAAGTTTCTACTACTTGTTGTTGTTGTTTAGTCGTTTAGTCGTGTCCGCCTCTTTGTGACCCCCTGGACCAGAGCACGCCTCCCGCAGTTTGGTCAAACTCATGCTGGTAGCTTCGAGAACACTATCCAACCATCTCATCCTCTGTCATCCCCTTCTCCTTGTGCCCTCCAGCTTTCCCAACATCAGGGTCTTTTCCAGGGAGTCTTCTCTTCTCATGAGGTGGCCAAAGTCTTGGAGCCTCAGCTTCAGGATCTGTCCTTCCAGTGAGCACTCAGGGCTGGTTTCCTTCAGAATGGAGAGGTTGGATCTTCTTGCAGTCCATGGAACTCTCAAGAGTCTCCTCCAGCACCATATGGTCTTTCCTTATTGCCTGTTCATTGAGCAAGCGCAGAAATAACTCTCTCTAAGCAGCACCTCGCTGCAGGGAATCTCTTTGCATTCCTTTCTATATATGGGAATGCCTGAGGGAACAGGGCCCCCAGCAAGGCCATGCATAGTACAATAAGAACAAAGGGGGGGGGACTGGAAATCATCCCTTTCTTATGCAGACACTTTGGAATGTGGTGTCACAAGATAAAGCAGCTTTGGTACAATAGGCCAGGAGGCCTTTTTTGACTTGGAGGTCCCTATATGCATCAGTAGGACTCATACCCATGGCTTCAAGATACAAGAAAGCAGATTCTGACCGAACACCGGGAAAAGCTTTCTGACAGCAAGAGCCATTTGACAGTGGAATGGTCTGGACTCTCCTTCCTTGGAGGTTTCTCAGCAGAGGTTGGGTGGCCCTCTGTCATGGATTCCTGCATTGCAAGGGGTTGGACTAGATGCAATGGGGTCCCTTCCGAATCAATAGTTCTATGATTTTTATGGTTCCGTGATTCTAAGGATGAATCAGCCAAGTTCTTTCTGATGTTTAGTTGGAAACTCCTTCCTTTTCGTTTGTGTCCATTCTGGATTCTGGGGAAACTCTATGGTGGCCGCCTTCCTCTCGTGAAGTATCTCTGTGGCGTGCAGGAATGCAATGGAGAGGGGGGTGCTCTTACTGGTGAAGGAGCTGCCCTGAGCAGACACAAGAGGGAGACGGCCAAGGCCTTTCGCGCCATTGCCCCCTCCCCCTCCTCAAACCCCTCTTTCCTTCTGCTAAATGGCTGCAGGCAGGAGCAGCGCCTTCCCAAAGGACCCTGACAGATGTCCGTGCCCACATCCATTTCCTGCAAACCCTTCTTTGTCAAGGAAAAGCAGACAGAGGGAAATCAAATCCATTGTTTTCCATGTGCTTGTTAGGCCAAGACTAAATCTCACACTGGAGGGGGGAGGTGGAGTTCGTCCTGTCCTAACAAGCACCTAACAAGGAGAAGCAGGACTAAGATGTGGAGATCTGCTCCAGAGATCTAGACCGTGGGGAGCCCCAAGAAATAAATAAATACAATTTGGACTATAATTTGATCTTTTTTATTTATTTTTATTTTTTTTAGTTTTTTAATTGAAGTATTATGATTGGATATTTAATTGGATGTTTTTTATTGGAAAATCAATAAAAATGATTTAAAATGTGAGTGGGCGGGACCAATTACCCAGGCAGCAAGATCAGCCCAGAGAAACAATACCTGGTACTTCCCCTGTCAAATCCCGGCACTGGAGTACTTAAAGAATGCAAATGTGAAGTCATAAGTATATATATATGTAACTGGTCCCTAAGATCAGCCCCTGGACCTTAATTGGACATGTCATGCTATTTATTTTTTTAAAAAAAGAACCAGGGGGAATCTGGGAAATTACGGGTTGATTTCCTTAACATGTGTTTTAGAGCATTATTAAAGACAGAATGAACAAGCCTATAGAAGAACAAGCTTGGTGGAGCAGAACCAGCATGACTTCTCCAAAGGTAAGTCCTTCCAGTTGAACCAGTTTCCCCACAGACCAGCAGGCCATCCCGTTTACACAATGCTATACATTCACAGCAGCCCAGTAACCTCTCCTTTGTCTCCCCAGTAACTTGATGGCGGAGACCAAGGTTCATAGGAAACTCATATCATTTTTATTGGGTGAGCCTAGGGTTTCAGGCCACTGTACAGTCTTCTGCTCCCAAGGAAGCCAGAGAGAAGTCGGCTGCGGTGCCTGTTCAAGGTGAGGAGTCTCACGGAGGGGCTCATCCACTCTGGAGTCCAAGTTACCCTAGGACAGAAGAGAAAGCGTCAGAAGAGCCTGGCAGCAGGATCAGACCATCTAGCATAGCATGCAGTTCTCAAAGCAGTCAGATGTCCCAAAGAACCTCTGGATAGGCTGTCTCTGGAGGCCCCAGAAGAACATAAGAGCTCCTAGATCAGGCCAGTGGCCCATCTCGTCCAGCATCTTCTCCTCAGAGTAACCAAACCAGATGCCCATTTTGGGGAGCCCAGGAGCAGGACCTGAGCACAATAGCAGCCCTCTCCCCACTTGTGGTCTCCAACAACTGGTATCTAGAGACATGCTGTCTCCAGGAGTGGAAACAGAGCATCGCCCTTGTGACTAGTAGCCCTTGATAGCCTGAATTTGTCTAACCCTCTTCCAAAGCCATCCAAGTTGGTGGCCATCATTACTTATTCTGGGAACGAATGACGTAGTTTAACAATGCAGGTCACTCATCCCAGATGCCTGTTGGTTGCTAACTAGCCATGGAAACCAACAACACAAAATCATTGTGCTGTATTGTGCTGCGGATTATAGCCAAGCGATCGTGGACACAGACACGAGCTTTATCAGCACTTAATTAGCCGGGCTTCCCAGGCCAAATGGTCTTATCGTCACCATTAGCTCGTCTCCCCAGCTTTCCTTTAAAGAATTTAAATAAAACAGCAAGCCGCTGGCCCTTGCGGAACCCAAGAGAGGGGGTGAAGTGTGCAGCTGCTATACCATCTAACTCAGCGGTTCCTAAACTGGGCTCCACGGAGCGCTTGGTGCCCCGTGAGGCATCTCCAAGGGCTCCGCAAAGAGACTGGAAATAAAAATAAATAAATATGTGTCTTTGGCATCAGGGAGGCAACTGTGCTCCATAAAATACTTCTCTCCTGAGAAGTGCTCCACGACTCAAAACCTTTGGGAACCACTGATCTAATCATTTGGTGGAGAATAATCATTTCCACTTTCCATCCTCCTTACCCAACGAGAGGAGTTGCCTCTCCCTTCTAACACATCAAGCTCCTGGCCTAACTCCCTTCCTGCCGCAGTTCTTCTGGAGGTCTTGCTGTGAGTGACGGGCTTGGCACCCGCTGGCTTCTCTTACCTTTAATGGCTGTCACACATTGGTGGCCACAGCCGTTGCTGCAACACTTCTGCCCAGGTGAGCAAGAGGCATCACCCTTACAGAGTTCTGCGCAGTGCCCACCTCCAGAGGGCCGGGGACACCGTCCAGGGCGCACTGCAAGAGAAAAAGGTGACACCCATACTGGGATGCTCTACTGGGGATTTGGTTTTCAATGGGTAGCAAGCAGTGGAGTGAAAATGGAAACTCCACACAGCACTTTGAAAGAATGCTGTATCTTGATATAGAATAAAAAGGCAAGCTTGTCATCACGCAGCACTTTGCTTGGCTGCCAACAGGTAATGCTGTGAACTACAGTGCGATAACTTCTGAGAGCTGCTGGGCCATGACAGCAGTGCTGGCAAGCGAGATGGGGGGGGGGCTGGAGGAAAGAGATGCAGCTGGGCCAACAGCGCAAGCAGAACCTGCCGGAATGCTTCTAAGGATAGGGCAGTGGGGCCTAAGGGAAGTATGGGTGGTCTAGTGAGCTCTGGACAGGTAATGGTGAGGTGTCACGGTGCAAGGTGTAAGGTTTGGTGGAATATCAGGGGAGGGCAGTTGGATAAGAGGATGGGGGGGTTGGTTGGGGGCAAGTTGGTAAGTGAAGTGAACAGGGGTACAACCCCTGGGCCATCATCAATGGGGTGGAAATGAGAATTTGGACTTTGGAAGATTAAAATATAAAGGTATGGAATACTGTATGCATGATCGAGCTAATAAATGTTTTGAAGAGGGCAGACAAGGGATAATCTTTGTGGAGAAATGGAATGTTTCTATAATTTATTGGTGTAATAAGGTACGATAAAATTGTAGAGTAAGAAGGGACTCTAAAAAGGTCATCTAATCCAAAAGTGAGCAATGCAGGAACCGCAAGAAGATTGAGTGGTATGGGGTTGGGGGCCTCGACGCAAGTGGTTGTGGACAGAAATACAAGCCTGGCCTGCAGTTTGCTCAGGGGGCTCTGTTCCCCGGTGGGCTGGATTCTATCCTGATTCTAACAATGCCCACTGGGGCCTGTCTTCTCCTGTAACCCTGGCTCTCATTTAAAACAGGAGTGGGGGGCCTCCAGGTACCTCGGCCTCCCCATTTTTCCTGCCCGCCTGCCCTGCCCTTGATATCTAACGGCAGAGCAGGTGAAAGCAGACCTTTCCCAGCCAGTTGCCGTGGACGTGCTGCATGATTGACACGGGGCCCCAATCTGCCTGATGTCACTATGACAGTGGGATGATTGAGCAGGTGGTTTCTTCCACCCACATGTCACCGTTGGCCCTTGGGATCATGGAGAGAGAAAGATCTGGCCCACGTGGCCAAAAGGTTCTCTGACCTTTTTTTGAAAAGGAACTTTCTAGACCATGGAGAACCTGTGATAGGAGGCCAAATACGCCGCTGCTATACCAGCCAATCATTTGGTGAGAAACAAACCTCCCACCTTCCATCACGCATGGCCAATGAGAGGAGTCCCTGCTCCCTTCCAACAGGCCAACCTTCTGGGTCTGAGTGTCTTCCTGCTACTGCTCTCCTGGAGAGAGCGATGGGCTGGGCACCTGCTGGCTTCTCTCACCTTCAACGACTCTTTTGCATGCAAATCCACAGCCAGTACTACAACACTTGCTCCCAGGGCCGCAAGACTCATCACTCTGACAGGAGATTGCGCATGTGCCAGGGCCTTTAATCGGAGGACACTGTCCAGGACGCACTGCAGGAGAGAAAGATGACTCCCACACCACAATGCAGTGGAAGTTTTCTTTCCCACAAGCAATGAAGCCCGTGAGCTGAGAGTCCATCCCCCGGAATACAGATCTCAGGCCAGAACAAGCACAAGCCTCTGTGAGAATCCAGGACAGCCCCACTCAGCCCCCCATCCCAAAACCTCATGGGGGTTCAGTATCTAGAGAGAGAGGACCCCTGACAGTCATGTCCAGTCGCAGTTATCTCGCTTTATAGGCCAAGGGAGACGGCATACAGCCTCTAGGTCATGCGGCCAGCATGACTAAGCCGCTTCTGGCGAAACCAGAGCAGCACTTGGAAACGCCGTTTACCTTCCCGCCGGAGTGGTACCTATTTATCTACTTGCACTTTGACGTGCTTTCGAACTGCTAGGTTGGCAGGAGCAGGGACCAAGCAACGGGAGCTCACCCCGTCGCGGGGATTCAAACCGCTGACCTTTTGATAAGCGAGCCCAAGGCTCAGTGGTTTAGACCACAGAGCCACCCGCATTCCCCGGTTCAGTATCTACTGGAAGGCTAATGCTGTGAGCCCTTCCACCTTGCTCAACCAGCTCCTATAGGAAGATGAAACCATCTATCACAAAGACACCAACACAGTCCTCAGTGGCCAGCCTAAGAGATGTCCTAGCACCCCTAAAATGTCAAACAGCTCTGACCACCAAAAAGTTCTCCCTAATATTGAGTCAGAATCTCCTTTCTGGCCATTTGAATCCATTGCTTCAGGTCCCCACCTCTGGAGCAGCAGCAAACTAGCTTGCTCCATCTTCTTTGGATATCAGAAGATGGCTATCATGTCAACAGTGGGGCTTCTCTTCCCCAGGCTAAACATACCCAGGGGCTGGAAACCAAGCCTTGTGAGAAACAGTTGAGGGAGCTGGGTAGGCTTCGCCTGGAGAAGAGAAGACTGAGGGGCCATGTTCAAATATATAAAAGGATGTCATATAGAGGAGGGAGAAAGGTTGTTTTCTGCTGCTCCAGAGAAGCGGACACGGAGCAATGGATCCAAACTACAAGAAAGTAGATTCCACCTAAACATTAGGAAGAACTTCCTGACAGTAAGAGATGTTCGACAGTGGAATTTGCTGCCAAGGAGTGTGGTGGAGTCTCCTTCTTTGGAGGTCTTTAAGCAGAGGCTTGACAACCATATGTCAGGAGTGCTCTGATGGTGTTTCCTGCTTGGCAGGGGGTTGGACTCGATGGCCCTTGTGGTCTATTCCAACTCTATGATTCTATGATTCTATGGGTGACATGTGGACCATTGTCAAATATCTGGAGGGCCGTCACATGGAAGTTGAAGGAAGCTGGTTTGCTGCTGCTGCTCCAGATTCAAATGACAAGAAATGAGATTCTCACTCCTTACGGGGTCCTCAATGCGGGATCACATTCACCCGGTGCTCTACCAGCTGCACTGGCTCCCAGTGGAGTACAGGGTCAGGTTTAAGGTGCTGGTTTTAACCTTTAAAGCCCTATACGGCCTAGGACCCTCGTACCTACGGGACCACCATTCCTAGTATGTCCCACAGAGGACCTTACGGTCTTCAAACAAAAACATCTAGGAGGTCCAGGGCCACAGGGAGGTTAGGGTGGCCTCAAACAGAGCCAGGGCTTTTTCAGCTGTGGCCCCGATCTGGTGGAACGTTCTGTCACAAGAGACTAGGGCCCTGCGGGACTTGACATCTTTCCGCAGGGCCTGCCAGACGGAGCTGTTCCACCAGGCCTTTGGCCAAGGCATAGGAAGAGCTTTCTGATGTTAAGAGTTATTCAACAGTGGAAAAGACTTCCCCAGAAGGTGGTGGACTCTAAGAAGGGTGGAGACAGGTTGGAGCAGGTTCAGAGGAAGGCTGCGCAGATGGTCAACACCACCAGAGGAGAAGGAAGCCTGGCTGGCCTGGGATTTTGCCCTTACCTTGTTGTCCAGCTGCAGACGGCAGCTCAGCACAGATGGTGAGGAGGCCCATGAGGAAGAAGACGAGGAAGAGCCTGGCTTTCATGGTGCTGTTCCTGATGCAGCTAGCAGAAGAGTCTGGGTGTTGTGGCTGATCTGGGCCAAGATTTAAACCCTCGGTTAGAGAGAGAGGTGAGCACAGCCCTTGGTTGGGCAAGAGGAAACTTCAGCAACAAAGGTTGGCTTTCATCACCGGGATGGCATTAGAGTTACACTTGTGCAACAGAACTGCTTCCCCCTAAGCATGAACCCCACGCCCTCCCCAAATTTGCCCAGAGGTGTGCAGGATGCAATTCTCAGAGTAAGAGCAAGTGAGCACCTCCTCCTGCAAGGATAAAGAGTTCTTCCTAAAACCCGATGTCAAGGTAATAAACTGCAAGGATAAATGAGTCACTTCTCCTTCATTGCACCCAAGGGCTCCTTGCTGAGCAGGAACTCTGTCCCTTTTGTAGGTGAGTGGCCTCCAAAGTGGGTTGCACCAGCTCTACCTCTTTTTTAAATCAGAACCAGTGAAGGCGGCGAAGGTCCTGTGAGTGTCTGGAGGATGAATGGCAGCTAATGGATCGAGGTTCAATTCTGACAAGACAGAAGTACTGTTTTGGGGGGACAGGAAGCGGGCAGGTGTGGAGGACTCCCTGGTCCTGAATGGGGTAACTGTGCCCTGAAGGACCAGGTGCGTGGCCTGGGAGTCATTTTGGACTCACAGCTGTCCATGGAAGTGCAGGTCAGTTCTGTGTCCAGGGCAGCTGTCTACCAGCTCCATCTGGTATGCAGGCTGAGACCCTACGTGCCCACAGACTGTCTCACCAGAGTGGTGCATGCTCTGGTTATCTCCCGCTTGGACTACTGCCACGCGCTCTACGTGGGGCTCCCTTTGAAGGTGACCCAGAAACTACAACTAGTCCAGAATGCGGCAGCTGGACTGGTGACTGGGAGCGGTGCTGAGACCACATAACACTGGTCCTGAAAGACCTTCATTGGCTCCCAGTATGTTTCCGAGCACAGTTCAAAGTGTTGGTGCTGACCTTTAAAGCCCTAAAAAAGCCTCAAAGGCCCAGTATACCTGAAGGAGCATCTCCACCCCCTTCATTCAGCCCAGACACTGAGGTCCAGCTCTGAGGGCCTTCTGACGGTTCCCTCACTTTGAGAAGCCAAGTTACAGGGAACCAGGCAGAGGGCCTTCTCAGTGGTGGCGCCCACCCTGTGGAACGCCCTCCCACCAGATCTCAAAGAGAAGAACAATTACCAGACTTTTAGAAGACATCTGAAGGCAGCCCTATTTAGGGAAGCTTTTAATATTGGATGGATTATTATCTTTTAATATTTTGTTGGAAGCTGCCCAGAGTAGCTGGTGAAACGCAATCAGATGGGCGGGGTATAAATAAATTGTTGTTGTTGTTATCAACATGTTCCTTTTAAATGCCTAACTGGGGTGGGGAAAAGAGGGGAGACTACAAAACAAGCCCAGCCCCTTAGATGGGCCTTGTCACCCATGCAGATGCTGCCCCCAATCCCCTCTCCCTGACCTTCAGAGGACCAGGAGTCATACAGGAATTCATGGGGTCTGAACTGGTGGTGGTGGATCAGGAACTAGACCTTGGTTTGATGAAGATATTGACCCAATGTGCAGCAGTTGTTGTAGGACCAGAATAATATGCACGTATTTAAAGGGAAAGGTACCCCTGCCCGTACGGGCCAGTCGTGTCCGACTCTAGGGTTGTGCGCCCATCTCACTTAAGAGGCCGGCGGCCAGTGCTGTCCGGAGACACTTCCGGGTCACGTGGCCAGCGTGACGAAGCTGCTCTGGCGAGCCGGCACCAGCGCAGCACACGGAAACGCCGTTTACCTTCCTGCTATAAAGCGGTCCCTATTTATCTACTTGCACCCTGGGGTGCTTTCGAACTGCTAGGTGGGCAGGAGCTGGGACAGAGCAACGGGAGCTCACCCCGCCGCGGGGATTCGAACCGCCGACCATGCGATCAGCAAGTCCTAGATGCTGAGGATTTAACCACAGCGCCACCCGCGTCCCTGCACGTATTTACATAGCATATAAAGCATTTTCTGATTAAATATAGAGGAAATCAAGGAGGAACGCAAGACTATGCGGACACAGAACTGCAAGATTAATACATAATCATGGCGAAAGCAGTTAGGAATTTGCGACATAAGCAGAAGTTGAGCTTAGCACACAGAGAATCCTTGAGCAAGATTTTTAAATGCAGGACACACACAGATTTTCGGGTAAGGGCACTTTGATGAATGTCTAAATAAGTAGCCCTACACAATCTAATGTGTTAGAAGAGCAAATTTGTTCAGCTACTCTCTTCCTCTCTGGTTCTATCTTTACAGAAAAACTGGCATGCGGGACCCAGTCAACATGAGGGAGGGGCAGCAGTAGGTGGGCTGCAGGTGTCCCACCCCCTATGGCCAAGATTACAGGCACAAGGTATGTGAAGAGGTTTGGATGTTCTAGGTGCCACACCCCACCCTCAGCCAATCAGCACACGACACACCCCATGATGTCACCCCTCCCTCACCCCTCCCTCCCTGCAGTCATGCCTTAACTAATAATAATAATAATAATAATAATAATAATAATAATAACAACTTTTATTTATATCTCGCCCTCCCCGGCCAAAGCCAGGCTCAGGGTGCTAACATCAAATATATAACGTTGGTATAAAATCAAACAATAATTAAATGACCTCCTAAAAACAGGTCAGCATCAAATTAAAATCTAATTAGATGGCTTTCCGCAGGATTGGGGTTGGGAACAGTAAATGTTCATCAGGCCCAACTCTTTCGGCTGATCTTATATGGGCCTGTGACAATGCTGGGAGGCCTCTTTCATACTAGTTCTTATACAAAAAGAAAATACCAATGGCTTCAGCTAGAAAAGCTGGAACGATGCACTAATTCAGCTAGACAATGATGGTTTGACTCTGCCAACAAACCATCCAGATTATTGCCAATTTAGCTAAAAGACATTCGTCAAATATACTGATAAAACAGCAACGTCTGAATCTGAAACTGCAAGACAATTTCTACATTCATCACAACATCCAGGTGTCACTGAGACAGAGCAAAAATTTGCAAATACATGCATGCCAAAGGGAACTGAAGAGAATTTGCAACTCCTTAAGGCACCCGTATAAGAAGAGGAAGATAAGAAGAGGAAGCGAAAGATACCATCACCAACCTGAAAAACAATATGGAAGCATTTATGGTTCGTTTTTTAAAACTCTGCTCTGCAACAATGACAGCACAATACTCCGCAATGATAAACCATTCACTGCAACTGTTGACCCAGGTTAGAACATTATGTACTTTTCAAATGTCAAGCTGGATTATTAATATTATTTTTAGAAAAACCTGTTTAGTAAGTAAGCATCTTGGAATTGTTTTATTTTAACTTCTAGCATCCTGTTTGCATCTTGATTTAGTTATGCAATTCATCAGTCAGATTGTGTTTTATGTGGGTTGTTATTTGGGCCTAGAATTACCGATACGCTTGACCCTAATTATGTATCCAGAAGGGGTTTCAGTGTGGTACATCAGCAAAACGAACTAATGATATTCTGGGCTGCATCAACAGATGAAGAGAAGTAGTTGTGCTGCTCTACTCTGCTTTGGTCAGACCACCTGGAGTCCAGTGTCAAGTTCTGGACAGTTGGGTATGGAGAAGAGGAGACTGAGAGGAGATATGACGCCCATCTTCAAATATCTCAAGGGCTGTCACATGGAGAATGGAGCAAGCTTGTTTGGGGCTGAAAGAAAACTCATGCAGCAAATGAGGAAAACAAAGGGTTTTATTTTGCAAGCCAGCAAAACAGGCACAGGAATAAACTCCAAAGTCTGGCCCCTTGCATCGGGCTGGGCTTTTTAATATACATAATTGTTATCTCTTAAGCCACTACATTGGGGAACGCAGGTGGCGCTGTGGTCTACACCACAGAGCCTAGGGCTTGCTGATAGGAAGGTCGGAGGTTCGAAGCTCCGGTTGCTCGGTCCCAGCTCCTGCCCACCTAGCAGTTCGGAAGCATGTCAGTGCAAGTAGATAAATAGGTACCAGTGGGAAGGTAAATGGCGTTTCTGTGCGCTGCTCTGGTTCGCCAGAAGCGGCTTAGTCATGCTGGCCACATGACCCAGAAGCTGTCAAATGCCAGCTCCCTCGGCCTATAGAGCGAGATGAATGCCACAACCCCAGAGTCATCTGCAACTGGACCTAACGGTCAGGGGTACCTTTACCTTTAAGGCACTACGTATTCATAGACTGACCCAATCACAAGTTACAGTGCCCTACTATTAGAAAAGTATCTACTACTTGTTGTTGTTGTTTAGTCATGTCTGACTCTTCATGACCCCCTGGACCAGAGCACACCAGGCCCTCCTGTCTTCCACTGCCTCCCAGTTTGGTCAAACTCATGTTCATAGCTTCGAGAACACTGTCCCACCAACTCGTCCTCTGTCGTCCCCTTCTCCTTGTGTCCCTCCATCTTTCCCAACATCAGGGGCTTTTCCAGGGAGTCTTCTCTTCTCATGAGGTGGCCAAAGTCTTGGAGCCTCAGCTTCAGGATCTGTCCTTCCAGTGAGCACTCAGGGCTGATTTCCTTCAGAATGGAGAGGTTTGATCTTCTTGCAGTCCATGGGACTCTCAAGAGCTCAGGAGGGGCGAAGCATTCAGACACTGACTCTTATAATACAGACCTGTGCCTATAAAGTGTGGGGCAAAGTGTGGGTGCACCCTAAGAGAAATTTGGGGAAAGGGGTTGGGGAGCAGGAATAGGTATTTGTGTAGGAGGGTTGTGGGCAGAATCTTGAGCTGAATGTGTAGTCACTAAGTTGTACCTTAGAAGCATAGAATTGTAGGGCTTGGAGGCACCCCAAGGGTCTAGTCCCACCCCTGCAATGCAGGAACCTCCAACATATGCCCCCCACCCCTGTTTAAAGACCTCCAAGCAAGGGGAATCAGCCACCTTCCTGAGGTTTATTTGTGCTAGCTCTAGGCCATGTCGGAGCACATATTGCATAAATCTATGCTGTTCTTCCCCTGATATGTTTTCCAGATCCCACCCCCCAACCAAAGGAAAGGGAGTCAGAACTTCTGAG